TAATGGAGGGTCTTTCCTTGTCTCTGTGCGTAATTTTAATACACTTTTTGCGTCAATTCTGATTCCTCTTAATTTCCCTCCAAAAATGTCACCGTTTTTTTTCAGCTTGATTAAATTGGGGGTATGGATTCGATCGACATGAATCGATCGAAAATAAAAACGGTAATCGATCGACACGACGTGAACCGATCAACAAATTATTAAAAAACTATTGTCGATTCGATCGATTGCGGAATCGATCAAAAAATAAAAAAGTGGACTAATCGATGTGATTAGATCGACAGCGATTTGATCGACAGCGATTTGATCGACAAAATCCGATCGTTTCACAGGTTTGTCAATCGTTTGACGGCATTTTCGATCGCTTCATGGTAGTCGATCGAATTCGTGTCGATCGAACCACGACGATCGGTTCACGATTTTATTTCCGGATCGGTTCATGCCGATCAAATCGACACAATGTTTTTATGAAAAGTCGTCAATCGAATCGCGACGTCGATCGGTTCATATCGATTGAATCACGCTTCTTAGCGCTGTCTCCACTCGTCAAAATGGCGTCAAAATGGAAGCTCAAAATGCATCGATTTCGACTATAAGTGGCTCAAAGTCTGGAATTGATGCGATCGATGAGTGTCGCAACTCAAAATAGAGCGGCGCGACCCTTTTTAGATCAACAATCGCGAACAGGTCGTATTTATCGATTCGCTTTGAGCTTCCATTTTCACGCCATTTTGACGAGTGGACACAGGGCTAATTTTTTGATCGATTCATGTCAATCGAATCCATGGCCTCCGATAAAATTAGTCGAGTTGCGCAACCGGTGTCGGATCTCCGCTCGTATATTCATTTGTCATTCTGATTGGACGATTTGCTCTGGTTTCGCCCGAGGAGGGTTTCCTCTTATCTAATGATTTCCTTTTCCTGCGGACTCGCGGAACAGATGCCGCCTCGGAATCCGAAGCCTCTTACTGATCCTCGTAGTGGACGCCGCGCCGCCGCCGCCGCGCCAGTGGCATTTAGCGCGCATCGCGGCTCCTCCGGACGGATTCCCAGCGCTCCGTCGCCGTCGTTCTCTGTTGACTTTTCCCGACGCGGAGCCTGAAAGCGCGCTCATTTCCATAAATTAAACAACGAGAAAAAGAATAAGAGCCAACGAAAGTAATGACCGCGTCATAATAAGCCGGTTCATTAAAATTGTTGCTCCAATTATCAGGGCTCTTAATCGGCCGGAAATTCGATTATTTTTTGTGCGTGACTCGGTGGATTAATTTATTCTCCGGCCGAGGGCGCAGGGTTGCTCGAGGTCCAAGAGGAAAAGTCGCTTGTTGCGCGGCGGAGAGCTGCTCGTGTCGGGGAGTTGTCAGCACTGGTTCCCGAGCCCGGCTTCCGATGCACGGCCGAACAAAAGGTGTTGTGGATGGGGCTGGGGCGACCCGAGTGGTGGGATGGAGGGAGGGGGGCTCAAGATGTAAGTGGCGACTAAAGTGTGTTTGATTGAGTGCAGCGAAAATGCAGGTGGGTCTAGCTCGTTGCCTCTCGCACCCAACGCTGTTGTCAAGCACTTCCGTAAAATCTGACGCGAAATGGTGGATTATGAACATTTTCCTTTACTTTCGGACAGGTTACACTGGGAAAAAAACACATTGGATCTAGGGTCCAGACTCTTGAAAACATTATGACAAGAAACATGACTCTTGATGCAATCAGATTTAAGCTTAAATCAAAAGGAAATCCGCTCAAATTAAGAGGCTCGGTTCTTAATTTAAGCTTAAATCTCATTGAATCAAGAGTATTTTTTCTTGTCGATGTTTTTAAGAGTCTGGACTCAAGATCCAATGTGTTTTTTTCCAGTGTAGTTCCGTCCAAGCAAAAAGCGGTTCAATTTGCATTTTCTATTGGGTACTTAATTTCAGGTAAGGAGATGTGAACAACAATTCGATGTTGAAACTGCTGACATCTATAAAGAGAACTCAACTTGCAGACTTCCTTTCATATTTATTTTCTACGTAAAGAACTACTGAACGTTATTTCTCTAAATCTTTGATAGTTTTTCTTCTCTCTTTGGAGATTCTGTGAAAATTTCAAGGCATACGTTGGTTTTGGCTCCTTTTAACCCCCTGTGGCATTGTGACACTTACAGTGGAAAAAAAAACATTGGATCTAGAGTCCAGACTTTTAAAAACATCTACAAGAAAATGTGATCTTGATTCAGTCAGAATCTAGCTTAAATCAAGAACCAAGCCTCTTAATTTAAATGGATTTCGTTTTGATTCAAGAAAAAATCCGATTGAATCAAGAGTATTTTTTCTTGTCAATGTGTTCAAGAGTCTGGGCTCTAGATCCAATGTGTTGATTTTTCAGTGTATTCGTAACAACGCATTCTTCGGTTTTTTTTTTTTTTTTGAAAACATTGAATATTTCCTCTGAGGCATGATTCTGTAATCTTTCGTCATTGTTATCTATTCTGAAAAAAAAATGATAACAAAAAATTTGAAATTTTCGGGGAAAATATAGAGGATTGTAAATTAAAAGAGCAGTGTAGATGATAACCAAAAATTTGAAATTTTTGGGGAAAATATAGAGGATTGCAAAATAAAAGAGCAGCGTAGATTTTGAAACATCGCAACTGAGATTCCACTTTTGGAAGTTTCATCGTCGAAATGTCGACAAATGATTTCCGTAAATCAATAATTCTCCAGATAAGGCTTCATAACAGTGATGGGTAAAAAATACCAATTTTTCCGAGTGTGTGACGAGGTTCTCAAGTTGGCAACAGGTGTGCACCGGCCCGGCTGTGGCCGAGGACTCCAGGAGCAGTCTCAGACATGTGGGAAAGGAGTCTCCGACTTTCAGCCGAGCTTCCTGTAATTAAACTCGCAGGACAACGCAAAGTCTCTTATTGTGAGCGAATGTGTTATTGTTATTGCTCCGCGAATAACAATAATATGCACCACTTAATCATTTAACTCATCTCCCCCGTCCCCACCTTGACGCCAGAAACACTTATGACTCATTCTGCCTTACGCTTTGCTCTTATTCCTCCTCTTTCCCGCTCTTCCTAGGGACACCCACTTATCCTCACTTCTTCCTCCGCGAATTAATCACTTCTCGCCCGGTGTAAATTAAACCCAGTTTCAATTTGCCATTATACGTGTATTCCGCACCCTCCGAGACCGTGTGCTTTGATTCGCGCTCCGTTACAATATGTTTAACTGAATGTTTTATCCGAATTAATGGGCGCAAACAACTTCGTACACTTACTCTGAGAGGATTTTGAGACACGTATTAGAATAACTACCCTCATACAATACCCTTAAGGCGATTACAATATTTCGTCCCCACCATACCTACAATATTTCGATTCACTGTCACTGATGGGGTCAAAAATTTGTCGTGGGAAACTAAGGGTGAAAACCTGATAATCGCCACGGGAAGGAGGGGTAGGGTTACTCGATGGATGACATCGACATTTCCTATTAATTATGATAGTATCCCAATAAATTAGGTTACTAACCAAAATATTGCGGTACTACCACAATTACCTAATTCGAAATACCCATATCATCCAATAAATTCGGGTACTATCACAATTTTATAGAGTGGCCCCTAACGCACTTTTTTCTCCTGCGCAGAAGATAATTCTTGTATAGAGGAACACGTCACGATTTTCCGAGTAGTTCATGAGAGCGAAAATTCGGAAGCCAATTTTCAGATTTCAAATTGAAAGATGCTCCCACACTGAAAAAAAATTCTCGGCGTTTTTACCAAGGTCCGTTGGTACCTTTACCATCTCACTTTTTTACCAATTATTGGTAATTTTATCAAGACAAACTGGTAAGCTTACCTAAAAACCGGTATTTTTACTGTTTTTTCCAGGTAAGAATACCATTTTTATTGGTACGCAATTCCCGGTAACTATGCCATTTTATCCCGGTAATTCTACCACAGTCGATAAAAAATATTGGCGTTTTTACCAAGGTCCAGTAAAATTACCGAGAAAGTTCAATAATTTTACAGAGATTTCTTGGTGAAATTACCGATTCCATAAATGGTAATTTTACCAAGAAAAAACTGGATCAAATAGAACCCTGAATTCTTGGCAATTTTACCCGTTTCTTAGTAAATACACCCGAGATTTTTTTTTTTCAGTGGATCCTCACAACAATCCGCCGCAGCGCGATTACCGTGTTTTAAAAATGTTACTCCTTCATAATAATCTAAACAGCCTCCCAGAATAGCAAATAGTTTTTGCTTCTCACCAATTTTTTTTTTTAATTTCAAAGGAAAAAAATCGTGTAAATTTTAATAATGTAGATACATATATGTTAAGTATTTTAAAAGAAAAGAAGAAGTTGCACAATTTCGAAAACACCGGAATCGCGCTGGTTCCTTTTTGCCATGTGCGATCCAATTCTTCCCCTGCTTTCATAAAATGAATCTCAAAAACAAAAAATTGGTGCAAATCCATTAACATCGCAGACGCAGAAAATGCTGACGGAAAATTGCAAATCCGTCGTTCAATAAGGAAAAAAGTAAAATGTTCCGTCTACATCTCTCCAAGGGTCATCCTCTGTCCCAACCAATCATGAAATAGTTTTGATATTTAACAAGGAGCAATTCGTCTCCTTTCCTCGTGCGTGGAGTCAGTGGTGGCGCAGGTGCACCCAGCTGGAGGTCCAAACCCAGCGAGGAGTTAAAATTCGACTCGAATTTAGACCTATCATAAGCGGCAAACGCGTGCCTGTGGCCACTGCAAGAGACCTCCGCACAGCGCCGCGCGACGAAGAAAAAACCCCGGTTCGTGGCGATGGCGACTAAAAATAAGAGCTCCGCGTACGAGAAGTCGCTCACCTCATCTCAAGAAACTGAAGAGGCTCAAGTGGCTCGGCCAGGCCCCGCGCTCGCAGGCAGGAGAGCAGGAACCGAGGAAGGAGTGCGGTGCGCGGTACCGAGTCCAGGTTCCAGCAGTCTGGCTCGACGCCTCGCTTCGCGTTTGCTTCAGTTTCTGTCCGGACCGAACGGGGGTAAGACGTCCCTGTGCCCCCAACGCTTTTTCCCTCGCGCACGTGTGTGGGTACGCGCTGTGTTTTCGCGATTCCTCGTCGTTGTAAACGCACCGGTTTCACTTTCCGCAACGTGTGCGTTTGTACAGTGTTTGATTTCATGTGATACTTCAGCAAAATTCAGTGTGTTTCGTCTGTTTACACGCATAACTTTACCATGATTGGCTCGGGAATCTTTTCTCTAGGCACAAGTGAATGCTATCTCCTACACTCAGTGATCTCTTAGTTTTACCTCTGTAGTGTTCTACCATCAAATTGATGATCAAAGAATTAGGAATCTCGAGATTTGATAGTTCCTCCGGCGGGTTTCAACTTTTTTGCGTGCCTATGTAAAGTCTCTTCGATGCGTGGCCTATTTTTTCTCTAGAATGTTTGGCAATTTCGAATAGTTTATGTTTTGCCCGAAGTTGCTTACCCTCAGTGGTACGTTTGAGTGTTCTTCAAGAATCTTGGATGCATCTTTACCTCCCGCGATGAATGCGGTTTGGATTACTTATTTTGGATAACCTCTTCTTTTGTGACGATGAAAATTTCATCCTCGGAATCGGTGCAACAATTTGCCCTGTGTCTTGTGCAACCCCCGTGTTCTGATTGTTCTAACCTCTGTTGAAAGCTCGGGTTTTATAACGCTTCGTGATGCTTTGTCTAGTGATTGTGTGTGGATTAAGAAATGCCCCTTTATCAGCCCATTTTTAAAATGCGTTCTCGTGTTATTTTTAAACGGTTGAGTTCAGAGCTTCTTGACAATTCGTCGTTCGATTCTCAGAAATTTCCCCCATTCAAATTTTAAACATTTCTTCTTCTACTATCAATCGTTCATTGTGTAACTAATGATCGAGCCCCTTAATTCTTGAATCAATTTCTGTTTGTGAGTGCGTGATAATCGATTCAGTGAATTCATTTATTTACTCGGATGGATTAACGATGAATCTTGTTTAGCTGTGAACGTACGTATTTATTTTTATCTTTTATCTTTGTTTCATCTTTCAGGCTTTATCCAATTCCTCCGTGCTTTCACTATTTACTGCTTTTGCCTCATTTTTCTCAACAGCAAACACGATGATGTCAGGCGAAATGGGCCTTTAGCCAGGAACAAAAATGAAAAGCGTTGGGCGCAGCTTAGCGAGGTTAATAATTCAGCATCATCCAGCGCCGTAAAAACGCGCAGATTGACGCAAATTCCGAAAATTGACTTATCGAGAACATTGAATTCCAGGGAAATACGCAATATCTAGGTAAATTTTTCCTGCGCTGTTGCCAGATTTGGAAACTGTTCGTTTCGGACGCTCATAACCTAAGTTGAGCAAATTGTATCTCGAAATTTTGACCGAGCACTGAAAAAAAAAACACATTGGATCTAGAGTTCAGACTCTTGAAAACATTGACCAGAAAAAATATTCTTGATTCAATCGGATTTTTGCTTGAATCAAAACGAAATCCGTTGAAATTAAGAGGCTTGGTACTTGATTTAAGCTGTATTCTGATTGAATCAAGAGTACTTTTTCTTGATGATGTTCTTAAGAATCTGAACTCTAGATCCAATGTGTTTTTTTTCCCGTGAGTATCTTGATGGGATGTAGAGGAAAACGTGCAATATTGAGAGCTGAAACATTTTATTTTGACTACAAGTAAATAAAATTTGTTGAGTACTGTGTCAAACATTTTGTAGCTGATATTAATTTGACAGGACTACCTAACTTTTGAGCTTGAGTTCACGCCAAAGAAGTTCACACACTTTCACAGCGCGATTGAAGATGATATGTCTAGCGTTGAAAGTAAACGTAGGAATCAAGATGTAGATATGCTGTTTCACCGGAACGTAAGCGCGCACGCTCATTTGCATCTTACTTGGCGTGAGCTCTAGACAAATGATGCATGACTCGTGCACCTGAAAACATGCCGATATTTGCATAAATCCAGCTGACTCGTTGTGTAAGGTGAATTTCAGCGATCTGCTCTAAAATAGTAGGGCGCTGACCCGTCCTCTATTATTGAATGGACTTAAGTATAAACTTTAGGTAATTAATTGTAGCGTGATTCCTAAATGCTTAACCTCGGTACTAAATGTTTTGTGACAAAGCGGCATCATCCGTGACGTATTTGCCCCCTTGGTGACTAACATCACAGTCAACACCATGAAGCATTGATCTCAGCAATTTTTCACAATTAAAATTCTGACTTACTTACCTACCTCGAGCGTTAAAAGTTGAGAACAGTGTTTTTCAAATAGGTACTTCGCGGATTGCAGCCTTGCTGCAACATTACAAAGTTAAAACGTAACATTGGAGCGCAACGTAACATTGGAGCGCCTTTGTAATGTTGCTGCAACATTACAAACTAAAAACGTAATATTGGAGCGCCTTTGTAACATAGTTGCCAGAGTGTACCTTGGTTGCCAGGCAAAATAGTCGCCACCCTGCAGAGCTTGGCCGGATTAGCCAGCAGCTCTGGGGGGGGGGGGGGGGTGCCCTGGAACGGGGATTTTTTTACGTATATTATTTCCTTCGTTTTTTTTCGTTACAAGTGCGGTCCGATCGAATCCCTTTGGGGGTCCCTGGAGAGCTAGAGAGGTTCCAACATCGGAAGTTCAGGAGTTTCATGGTCCTAAAAATTTAGGATCTAGGCCTTCTAAGTAATGACATTTTTGAAACTTGAAAATGCATTTTCCTCTCCTTCGTCGACTAGAAGGTCGATTAAATCAGAGACATCTAGAGCCTGCATGCCGAAATCTTATTTTTCAAAGAGGGGGGGGGCGGTGGTATAGGGGGTGAGACCAGAATTTTTGGGCTCCGTGACCGTAAAATTAAATTTTGTTAACTGAGACTGGTTTCTTGCTGAACTTCAGTACTTATGATTTGTGTAGCCCCTCAAAAACTGCGACTCTTTTGACAAGGGCTCCAAGGCTCCTAAATTAGTATATTTTGATCTCCCGTAACGTAAACGAGGACATCTGGGATCCTTCGTTTTTTTATAAATGTGAACTGCCTTCAATTTACAAGGTCCATAAACCCCAACTTACCGCCCCTTTCACCCTTAACCGCTAATCCGGCCCTGCGATCCTGGGAGTAAAGAAGCACCTATATCCAACTGTCAAACATGTCGCTGGTTAAAATCTGAAGTATTTTTAATAACAGTGCGATAAGAAACTTCGAAGTATTTAGGATCATACATTTCGGATTTTTTGTGTTTGTTAACCGGAGAGAGGGGTACGTAAACTTTGGCACTATCTCACCTCCTCCTTCCCATAACGCAGGTTCACAAGGCTCCCCCTCTCCCCCGAGCGTTACGTACTTTATGATCGCTCCCTAATTATAGAGCGACGCAAGTATGGCAATACTCTTCGTTAGTATGTACACAACTATGCAGTATGTAGGGCTCTGCCCTATTCTGCCGTGCTAAGGAAGAACGCCGTATGAACATTCTAGAGTTGCCAAATTTCCTTCGATAAAATGTTTATTTTTTAGGAAAGTTGTGAATATTTTCCCTCGAAATTTTAAGAAACTTATGGTTAATTTGCGAACTGAATTATCTGGAAGATTGGGAGGAAAATATTCATACTTACATTTACCAGGGAATTTGCGTTTTATCAAAGGAAATTTGGCAACGCCTGAAGGTTCATACGGCGTTTTTCCATAGCATGGCAGTATTGCATCGAGAAAAAGGCAATAAAGAAGGGCTTCTGCCGAAGATTCCGATTCCTCGAGAGGAGTCTCTCGGCGAGGTACCAAGGCGTCTCGGTTGAACGGGCGGAGACCCCTCGGCCGTGGCCGGAGATGAGGCTTCACGCTTCCTCCGGAGAAATGAGGTGAGAAAGATAGGCCAAACCGCAGCCACCGGGAGACCCGAACGAGGGCTACTTCTCAAGGGGTGAGGGGCGCCCAGTGCGTGGGCCGCCGGGAACGGGGTGGTGGGGACGGGGGTGCCCTCATGGTGTTTTTAGTTATGAGTTGATGAATATTAAAGACACCTGTTGGTCCCGGGTTATCTTCCCGATACGATACGGGCATTGTTCACGGGCCTCCAAGCTCCGAGCCCTGATGCCAGCTTTTTATCCTATATCCGATTCCCGTTTAATCTGTCCCTTGTTTGCTCTTCCATCATTGGATCTCGCCTCATTGTAGGCGGATCTCCTCTTAAAATGAATCTTTAGATTTAGTGCAATGTCGAGAATCCTTTCATAATGAAGGTCAAGAAATAAGGTATTCGTTTCTGATTGGCTGCCATTAGGCCTTCACGATGGTCACAAATGGGAACTAAGATTACATTTTTATCAATTACAAATATTATTAACTTTGCCCAAATGTCGGGGTCAAATTTTGTCTCGTTTTTCTCGGGAAAAGTCGACCTCAAGCGCAGCATAAAGTCGGAGTCAAGATCAGATATCTCATTTCGCCTTCAATTTTTATGATACTTCAAGCACATCCATAAAGCACGTATAGTGGTATCAAAATTCCGTGTGATTCGAGAGCCTTGTCATGTTTTCATCTCTTGATTTTTCACATCTCAACGGCATTTTTAAAGAAAATGTCTTGGTTCAATGGTGTCGTGAAATTTAGGAGAACTTAGGTAAATTTTGCCTAGTTGTTGAGGATTGTTGTATTTTGATAGGAAGTGTTCCTAATTACCGGCGTTTACCATTTTAGCATGGTCAGTCTAGGATTTCACATACCTCCTATGTGAGTGGACGAGATTAAGAAAGTTTGGAAAGACAGTCATGATTGTATTATTCTTTTTTCCCTCAGTCTTCTAAGCAAATCACCAAGAGTGAGTCATTCCGCCCACAATTAATTAATTTTCTTTCAGCTGTCTAAACTTTCCCGCCGAGTTTATTCTCGGAAGAGAATGACGCAATTTACAGGAACTGGCGAGTTTTAAATATTTTTTTTGGAATGTTGAAAACTCAAGCTGCTACTAATAAGCTTCGATAATTTCTCCGCTTAGGTTCATCGCCCATGTCGTTTTTAGCCAAAGCAGCAAAGTTTTTTTATTTTATAGATATGGATATTAGAAAGTTTTTACGGACTCAAATTGTTTGCTATTCGTACCTATCGATTCCTGGCTTTTAGATAAGAACCTCTATAGGTACCTTTACTCAGATTTCACCAGAAAAATCGATCGCTGTATCATTTTATAAGCAAATTTTGTACAAAATGTTTTGTGCAAATTCGTTCTTTCATCTCTTGCGCAGCAAAATTTTAATTTTATCCTCATGAACGACCTTTCAAGGTGTCTACAAGACTGAGAGAGAAAAGTGAGAGGAGTTTTAGGGAAAATAACAGGAGAAAAAACGAAAAATTGGAAAATCGGTATTTTTGTTAACACTGAGCTCTCATAGCTGTCAACAGAATAAAATCGTAAAATCATGTTCTCATTTAGTAATACGAATCGTAATTTTTTTCTCCACTAAATACATGTTGTTGCATCGTTTAAAAAAAACTATCCAGGGATTTTTTTTCTCTCTTTATTTTTTCCCATTATTTTGGCGAGAAAATATCCAGAAAAGTCAGGGATTCTTGTATTTTCTTAAGGCCAAAACATCCATAGTCTTTAAAGGAGTCAGTTTTTTTTTTTTTTTTTTTTTTTTTTTTTTTTTAATTTACCACGCATGTTCAATGGGTAGTTTTTGGTCTTATAAACCTAGCAGGCCTTTCAAGAACCCAGAGCATTGCTGGTAGGTAGGGGTAAGTAGGTAAGTTATTTTCACACTGAGGTGTTTAAGTCGATGTACCTTAAGGCGATAATCGTTCGCACCACCCTACCCGAACAAACCCGCAATGCTCTGCTGTCTCCCGTCCTCCGAGACTCGACTACGTCGCGTTGAATGATGCATGGTGGTGGCGCGTAGCGTGTAGCACGCCATCCTCTGCGTCTACGGAAGACTCCGTCTAACGACCCCCTTTCAATTACTCCCTCCCCGCTCCCCCAAGGATTTCAATTTGGATCTTGG